TAATAAATATACACAGAACACACACATATATTATGCTAACACACTGTTATTTTGTATGCGATTAATCTCGATGAATCATTTGACAGCACTAATTTGTAGTATAAATAATTATTAAATATAATTTAATAACTATAAATATATATGTATTTTAAAATATATGCCTACAAATTTAGATGGATGGATGGATGGATAGATAGATAGATGGATGGATAGGCAGGCATACTGTATATGTAGGCAAATAGACAGATAAGATAGATAGGTGGATGGATAGATATTTTTTTTCTGTAGAGTTCAGTGTGGTTGCTAAGTGGCAGCTATATGTTACTAGTTAGTTGCTATTTGGTTGTTAGGGTGATATGGGTGGTTGTTAGGTGGTTGGTGTTCTGGTGGCAGTTGCATAAACTGCGATAGATAGATAGATAGATAGATAGATAGATAGATGGATGGATGGATGGATGGATGGATAGATAGATAGATGGATGGATAAATGGATGGATGGATGGATGGATGGATAGATAGATAGATAGATAGATAGATAGATGGATGGATGGATGGATGGATGGATGGATGGATGGATAGATAGATAGATAGATAGATGGATGGATAAATGGATGGATAAATGGATGGATTGATAGATAGATAGATAGATAGATCGATGGATGGATGGATGGATAGCCACCCAGGAAAGATTTAAGGTTTTGTGATAAAGACAATCAGACTGCGCATGATCTGTTTATTTCACGATGCTTGCCAGATAACAAACTAAATGGACATAAAATACATTCACAGGTAAAATTCAGCCGTCTTAGGTCAGATCGCCATTTTCTCAGAGAAGGCGTTTAGTTCTCAAAGTCTGCATGAGAAAACACTCGCCAGAGGAGTGTTGTGGGTATAAACGCACCTTTGTTTTAGCCGAATAGAAGTCAGAACATGTTTGTTCCAAATACTTCATGAAGGTGTAAACATAATACGCATTGTTGCATAAACAGACTCATATGTTAACAAATTCTGGCTGTTCGCCGGAGTGATTTGAGACTGTAATTAGCATAGAAACACCTACTTCGGAAAATGATGTGAAGTATTATTAAACAATGTAAAAACCATCAATCAGCTGTAGTTTTTATTTTTAAAACAATGTAAAAAAAAATGCGGAAAATGTATAAGCATCAAATGCAACTGAGTCACGCGCATTTATTGCAACACACAGCTGTGTGTGTTTGTTGACACATGACTCATGAATGTGTGTGTCTGCAGCTGGTGATGTATATTAGCTGGTATAATAGACTGTGTGTGTAAACGAGGCGATCAGAACAGAGCCGTATTGTTGAGCGTGTGAACAGCGGCTATTGTGAGCAGCAGTGACGACTGTCTTTATCTCTGCATTATGAGCTCGTTTAGATTAACGTCAGCATCAAATCAGAATGAACTATTCCTGGTCTTGTAAAGAAAAGGATCTAACTGTAATATTTTGCTCAGCTTTCCATTTTCAGCTGTCTTGTTTTGAAACACCTCTCATATTGATACACATTTTTCCATGGAGAAAATAAAGTGCTGACCTACATTTGTTGAATATCCTGTTTCACTCTGAAATACAGGCTTTCTGTGGGTCTTAAAAATAATAATTCATTTGCCTTTCCACACAAAAGTCCACAAAAGTCATGGCATTAAATGTTGCATGCGCTGCAAAAAATGAATATTTTTTGCAGTGTGATCAGTAGGTACAGTAAAAGTTATTTCCATATTCTAGAGGTTGGAAGCAGTTTTTTTTGTAATATGAATGAAAAAGTAAAGGAGATCAATTGAAAGTTGCATTTTTAAACTTTAAAGCATTGCTAATACAAGACATTTAGAAACTATGTTGGCAGATTTTGTTCCATTCAATTTATCACTTGCGTTTTCTTTACTTGGTCTTAAATTGACCTTCATAAAACCTGCAGAAACCCTGGAAATATGTCAGAATATAGACGTAAAAAACTGTGGTTTTATCCCATCTGCTGCATTACTTGCATCGTCATGACATCGTCATGGCATCATCGTCATAACATCATCATGACATCATCGTCATGACATCATCATGACATCATCGTCATGACATCATCCCGTCCAACCGCAGGACAGAGAGAATAAAAGGTCTGAAATAAAATCTGAAAATATGGTTTTCTGTGTTAAATTCTGCAAAAACGACAGAAAACTAAAGTTAAACCATGCACAGAAAGGCTTGTGGGTGTGAAGTTGAACGGGTTGGGGATGTTCTTCCGAACACACAGCGGTTGAGGGTTCAGATGTCCGTGTTCCTCCCTGCACCAGTTCCTGTCTGAGCCTTAAAACGCTCTCTCGCTTCCTCTGACAGGAAAGGCCTCATTTCCTGAGGCTGATCTGAATCAGAGGCACAGAGGGAAACGCTTTCAGACACACTACTGAATGAGTATTTCAGTGAACAGAGTGAGCAGGACGGGATAGCCTTGGTAATGCCATAGTTTATAAGCTATGGGAACCATCCCATGGTATATGAATATGAAAATTGTTCAATATGATGTGATGTCCAGTGTGATGGTGTATAAATAGGGAAATGGTTCAGTGTGATGGTGTATGAATATGGTATATGTAAATTGTCCAGTATGGTAATTGTCCAGTATGGTGATGGTGTATAAATACGGAAATGGTCCAGTGTGATGGTGTATGAATACAGTTATTGTTCAGTGTGATGGTGTATGAATATGATAATTGTTCGACGTGATGGTGTATGAATATGTAAATCGTTCAGTATGGTAATTGTCCAGTATGTTGATGTTGTATGAATACAGAAATCGTCCAGTGTGATGGTGTATGAATATGAATATGGTAATCATTCAACATGGAATTTGTTCAGCGTGATGGTGTAAGAATATAGTATGAATATAGAAATCGTTTTGTATGGTAATTGTCCAGTGTGATGGTGTATGAATGAATATGATATTTGTTCAGTGTGATGCTGTATGAATACGGTTATTGTTCCGTGTGATGGGGTATGAATATGATAATTGTTCGACGTGATGGGGTATGAATATGTAAATCTTTCAGTATGGTAATTGTCCAGTATGGTGATGGTGTATAAATACAGAAATGGTCCAGTGTGATGGTGTATGAATATGGTAATTGTGATGGTGTGATGGTCTATGAATATGGTAGTAATGTAGTATGAAAGTTTAAGAATGTGCTAATCATTAGTAAAATGTAATATGAATATGATTCTCATTCTGTATGTATTTTCTAGTTCTGCAGAAATCCATCTACACAGATTAATTTATTTCCTCCATTTGTCATCTTTATATTTTTAGCCATGTTTTTTAGTTTCATATATGACTCTTATTAGTGACTCTTCCTGGTTCTTGACGTCTGTATGAATGTGATGATTGTAAACGTCTTAATCCTGTGTGTGTGTGTGTGTGTGTGTGTGTGTGTGTCACTCAGACGTCTGGAGCTTTAGTGTGCGTCTCGTCTGACATGCCGTCTTGTTACTGAGTGTTGTAACACAAACGAGAGTCGTGTGATTGTGGAGGGTTACTGACGTTCACTAAACAGCAGGAAACACTCCCTCTGCTTCTCGACATGTTTCCCATCATCCTTCAGTCTGTGCCAGGGATGTGTGTGTGAGTGTGTGTGTGT